ATTGTAATCTTGGACATCTTCACTCAGCATTAGCGTTTAAGCTGCGCTCTCCACCCACCAGCATGTGCCAGGGATCAAGCTGAACCAAGTGGGATGCTTGTTTCCCACTTAACCTGTACTGAGGACTCCATACCCATCACTTTGGGCTTAACGGGCAGAAGACAAGTGAAGTGGCTGGTTTCTAGAACTGGGAAACTTCAGGAGCAAGGGGCTTGCAGTGTGCCTGGGAGCCAGAGATGGGCTAGATTTTCTGATGGCCGCCCTGTTCACCTCTGGTCTTGGGACCTGTGGCTGCTTCTGTCACTGCTCTTGGTGTGGAGCAGTGCTACCTGTGACTGCCTAAGGGATATGGGCTTCCCTGCTCTTTCTTTGGTGGTGAGTGGTCAGCAGTAGCTGATCCCTGCTCTGCCTGCTTGCTGTGCAGATAGCATCTCCTGAATTCCTAGCTGATGATTTGGGCTGTAGTTCCCCCTCTACAGCCGTTCCTTGGTGCGCAGATGTGGACAGGTCCCCTCCAAGCCCCCTGTGCAAAGAGCTCCCAGAACGGTCTTTCAGCCCTCAGTCTGTTATGCAGCCTGGGAAGGGCTCATGGGGAGTCCCATCTGGTGAGAGCGACATTGCATGCTGCCTCCCCTTAGTATCCTTGCTCTAAGAGTGATGCGTAGCCTGCAGCTTGGAGCATGTGGGAGTGCTGTGCCATGCCCCATTGCTAGGTGTATGAAAGTTGCTCAGTGATGCTTCCAAAACAAGGCTGGGTACCTAGGATTTCATCCAGGGAGAAGGATGGGGTTGGGGCTTGCATTGTCCTTTGTCCTAGCACATCACTGTGGCCTGGCTTTGCTCTGCTTTGCTTGTGCTAGCACCGTGGAGCAGAGCTGTTGGGCCAGGATGGCAGGTGTGCCCCTGATGCTACAGGGTGTCTGACTGCATCCCCTTCCTAGCTCCCCAAAGGCAACTGCTGGTTAAACGCTAATGGTGTATTTTATTTAAGTGCAGACTTGTAAGAACACTTGTGTATCAGGGATGAAATGGCATTTATTGTGTGGTGACATTTTTAGTTCATTTTACTGGTTTTAGGGTTGTGTGTGCGCGTGTGCGTGTGTATGCATAAGTGTGTGTGGGATTTTTTTTTTTCCCTCCAGTTTCCAGGGTTGTGTTTCTGGAAGGATGTGGAAGTAATCACAGTACTATGTACAGAGCTTTCTTTTGTATTAAAAAAAAATTACTCTTTCAATAAACGTTATCATTTTGTGCACAGATTTGGGATCTTGGCCTTGATTTGCGGGAAGGGACAACACACACCTTGGGGTCAATGAATGGGGCTCAGAGGCAGATTCCTGTTTGTGTGCTCTGGAGGGTGCAGGGCTGTCTGGGCATGATGTGGCAAAGAGGGGCACTTTGCAAAAGTCTCCATCCCCACTGCCTCCTGCCACAGGTGAGACCTGACCTGCTGGACTTCTACTCTGGGAGCCCCAGGGCCAGAGGGGACCTGTGGTGGACAGCAGGGCTGTGAGGGCTGTACTTTCTGAATGCTCGGGAATGATGCTGCTGAGCAGGGCATGGTGTTGAGTCAAGAGAAGTAAAAACCAGGAATGGGGACTTTTGAAAAAGAAAAGGATTGTTTTAATTTGTGGGTGTTAACATGGAGGAGCAGGAGGACCTCAAGGAAGAGTTAAAACGGGGAGGGCAAACAGCCCATGTTGCTTATGGAGTAGTTGGGCAATAACTAAGGCCTAGTAAGAGGAATTTTTGCCATTTTAACATCAAAGAGAAGATGATCCCTAGCCCTGGACCCAGGTGGATTATGTATTTATATATTGATAAACTACCCCAAACCAAAGGAAGACAGATTTTTATTTTTTTTAGTAGTGACAGACGTATTTCCAGGATAGATACTAAGTTTTGTATGAAGATGCTCCTGTGAAGGTAGTGTTTACCTGATATGGGGCTCAACAAATAACTGATGATGGCCAAGGCCCCGTCATCCTGGGAGATGTCACGCAGCTGCCATCTCAGAGCACCCAGACGTGGTTGGGTTGTGCAGTACCATCCTCAGGCCTCTGGACAAGAAGAAACGGCTTTAAAATAAACCGGTTTAAAGGCTGCAGGCAGAACAGCTTCCTCTGACATTGACAGGCATCAGATCCAGGTCTCAAATGAAAATGAGGTTGTTTCCCCTCTCTTCTTCTGAGTCCATTAATTTTGGACACCTGATATCTTAGAGGATGGAGCTTAAGAGCCCCAACACCAAGACTGTTAAATTCCCTGCAGAAAACTGCTATGAGAAGATACTCAAAGTCCAAACTGGAGAGGCATTATTTAAAGTAAGGTCAAAGGTGGATGCCTGTAGGCGCCTAGAAGCCAGGTCAAGGGCACATGGGGGCTCTGAGAAGTGCCTAAAGGTGGGAAAGAAACCAAAGGAAAGAAGGGCTTGTTACAATCATCAGTGCTGCTGGATCAACAGTATGCCAGCTAAAAATGTACCTACTAGCCTCTACATAGCATCAGGCCCTGGAGCAGATACCAGGATAATGTAAGGAAAGCTTAGCACTGATAAAAGGCTGTGCAGTGGAGGGACAGTACAATTTGGAGAAAATAATCTCAGTGTAGCAGGAGAGAAGATTGCACAGAAAGTGCTTAGGAGCAAAACACAGCTGAAATGGCTCTTTCCCCAGTGGGAGGGGAGGCGCTTCACTTTTATGGGTTACACCACAGCCAACCCCATGTTCAGCATGCTTACACAGATATGTCTCGTGGTTCAGCACCACAACATGCCTATCAGCAGAAGTAACCCCATGTTACTTGTGCTCAGGCGTCTGTGTATGACATATACTCCTAACATGGAGCGAGATGCAACAGACATAATCTTTATTTTTAGGATAAATGACTGACTAAGCATGGTATCAAGACTATCAGAGCCAAGATATAATCAGGGCATATAAATACCACAGAAAACCTTTTGGTGTCACAAATGAGATGCCTGTGTCCTATCTGGTCACTGCCATTTATTGTTGGTGACAATTTCAGCTATGAGATGTTGCCATCTGATGTTACCAGCCAGGCTGCATTTCCCGCTGCAAAGCATTATCACTACCTCATGTTTGTGACATTACACACAGCAGTGTTGCAGATGCAGTACATGCACAAAATAACAGCTGCCAAGAACAGAGGAAAACAGCAATGGTTGGGCATGTGGTGTTAGCTTTTATGTAGTTGTGTGGCATTTAGGAAGTCATTTTCCCCTTCATTAGTGCAAATATACTGTCTCTACAGGAGATGAGGGGACTTGTAAAGGCAAAACATGACATAACTAAATACAAGTTTGATCCTCTAAATTTTAACAATGTTTTCGGAGGTAATGAGGAAGGAAAATTACATGTTAATGGAAAACACAGACATTTCAAGAGCATCCACAGGATTCTGGAAAGACAACATCAATAGCATCAACAGAGGTTACATGTACTAATGGAGAAATCAAGAGGCTGTCTTGGAAACACAAACATTTACAGTCCACCATTGGTGCCACAGCTTTAGAGGATAGTCCCCACAGACTGATGCAGAACTGCACTGATTTATCCAGACTATAGTTAATTGCAATTATATTGTTTGTATTAATTGCTGATTGCTATTGTAAAACATGGAAATTGTCTAATCAGCTGCATTAAGTACTGAGGGTAGAAATGAGGTTGGGCACATATATGAGGTTGCTCCAAGATCAAATAAGAAAGAATAATAAAAATGTTTGTTTGTAATTTAAAACAGATGTTAACACACCCATAGAAACCTGCACCTAGTGGATTGTAGCTAACTGCTGTGATGCCTGTCAAGGAAAGGAAATACAGGCAAAGGATAAGAGTTCAGATTTCATGGTATGGGCATTACAGATCAGTGTAACACCAAAGCAGGAAAGGGACTGGAAAGAGGCCAAAATTGTGTGCAACTGGCTTCTATTGCGCCTCTAGCAACATTGAGAACAGGGCAGTCTTGCACCCCAAAACCTGCAGCAAGCCGAAGAAGGTAGATGGAGGGCGCAGGGCTGAAACTACCCCAGAACCCCAGGCCTGAAGAAGTTGCTACACTGTAGCTTTTGGTTAACACCGCGTTTGCAATAGCGTTACTGCTGACATTATGTGCCTTTAACCTTCCTTCCACCTACCCTGCAACACTCCTTAACACGGTTCATCCATCACCAGAGAAACCGTACTAACACACGGCCTCACGCAGCACCGTGAGCTCTTGTAGGTGCACTCTTCAGCTCCCAACCCCAATTTTTTTCCTCGCCTCCAATATGAGCTAAGAGAATGAGAAGACACCCTGATTTTTCCTTATTTTCCTGTCCCTCGCACCCGTTTCTGGCGTGCAGGCGGCACGGCGGACAGCAGCCCTGTGACACACGGCCGCGGCGTGCCGCCACGCTGCCCGGAGT